GAGAGAGAGAGAGAGAGAGAGAGAATATTTAATGATAAGTAGTGTGACTGACCGGACAAAATTTCCCTGGAAGCACAGGACCGTTTCGTGGTTCTTGTCGCTTGTCAAACGTGAGTATCCGGTAATCTTTTGTCAGTTCATTCATATACTTGTATCCAGGAAATGTATTTTCGTCACAAGAGCCTTGTTTGCAACACCGGGTGACTTTTGGATAGACAGCTCTTTCAGAGCCAGTCCGCTGAAGAATCAATGCTATGATTCGACGTTTTGTACATACACTTCCTGGATACAAGTATATGAATGAACTGACAAAAGATTACCGGATACTCACGCCTGACGAGCGATAAGAATCACGAAACCGGTCGTGTGCTTTCAGGGGATTTTTGTTCAGTCAGTCACATACTATATATACATAAAGTATACAATTAAACGACAGTGCATTATCCATACCGTGAATTAGAAAAAGAGATAAATTTCGAGTATATCTGTTGATCACAGAACAAACGTTACGCGGGGTTCGGTATACGACAGTAATTGTAGAATGATAGAGTGAAAAATTGTAAAAGGTCAAAAAAGCATGAAAGCCACTGCTGCTGAGTATCACACCTATCGATGTTTTCAGATAAACGGTTCTCTTACTCCCTAAGTTTATCCTTCTATCCTGAGGCACAATGTAGTGCGAGCAAAACAGACATGCACAGTCAGTGTTATTCTGATTGAAGTATGTTTAGATTCAATCACTGAGATGTTCCCCGTCGACCTCTGCCAAAACGCGTTTCATCTTAAAACGTTGTCCATGTATTTGCTTCTATCGGCTTGTGCTATATTCTGCAAATGACAAAAGCAAGAAACCTAGAATACACATTTAGAAATAGAGCGTCAACTCCCTCGGGACTTAGACAATGTGTATCACAATTCACATCTCACAGAAAGTCATTCAACAAACATTCACATGAAGGTAACAGAAGTAAACACCACTTTTGCTCACCTCCAGGGTTGGTGCTTTGGGACGGGCATTGACGGCGTCTACAGCAACTCCGTGAAGCTTATTCAATGCCTCGAATCTCAAATAAACGCTAAATAGCTCGTCATAGGACCACGATTCAATGAGTTCGCGAAGCTGTTCGAGATATACATCTGTGGATTCTTTAACACCAGTCAAATTTTGAAGTCGCTGAACCAATATGGCCATTTTCTGACAATTTTCTTGCTCCACAGGAACAGAGAATCGATGACCGATATTTCGACAACTGGGAATAAGACCAGATTTCATTAAAAGCCGCAACTCGGGTTCCGTGACGAAAATATGTGTTGGAGAGGCTAAGCTAATAAGATCACGTGTCACGGATGCATTGGATTCTGGAGGAATATTTTGTGCTTGTGATTGTGACTGCGGATGAGACGGAGTAAGGTTCTGCAACGTTTGCTGGACGGAAGCCTGGTGACGCATTGAGTTCATTTCACCCGCACTGTGAGGTGTCGAAGTACGGCTTTGGAGACCTAATTGTAATTGTTGAATGGTCTGACGATGACTTTGTGTTTGCATACCTTGTTCAATTTGAGAAAATGTGTCCATTTGCGTTTCCGTCGTGATGATACGATGCATACCTGACTGATTGGAGTTGTTACGATCCGTCTGACCGAGTACAGAACGACACTGGCAGGATGGACGTGCCACAAGACGGGAGCAACAGGAGTCCGAATAGGGCACGACCGTGGCGGACTGGCAGGTATCACAAGTTGCAACCGTGGTACACACGGAGGGTGCCTCGGGCCTAGAATCATCAGGATCTTTCCGGTTCGTTCTGGAAGACAATCCAAAGTTATAGCATCCACCATGTTTCTCGAGGCTTGAGAACGAGGCCCCCATCCTGAAATTAAATCAATATTCAACAAGTTTAAAAGCAAGTGGAAAAAATGAGGAACGAAATCGACAGTTGGATTAACAGTTTCAGTTTGTACAACTATTAACCATGCACCTTCCTGTTCCGGTTTGGTTGCCGTACTTTGGTGCCTCATTTGGACAAAAGAGCAGAATGAAGATTGAAATGTTGAAAGCAAATTCAAGCGGAAGATGAAGAATTAATATAGTGTTAGGAGAATAAAAAAATAGATGCACGAGCACCACTGTTTGTGACACCCAATCATATCACTTAGTGTCTATAACCATCGGTTACGGTTATCCTGAGATCCC